TTTTTGGCCAAGTTCTAAATTACTGTGAATCAAACCATTACAGAGTTATACATCCCATAATATCATATTTACAAACAAAATGAACAAGAAGTAACAGTAATAGCATCCGGTGGAGGCCCTAGCATTTTGGGGGCCTTAATTTTCTAAATGGGTCCCTTTTCACCTTATTGCAAAGTCTTACTCGGTATATTTGAACTGAACTGAGCTGGACGATGAAATCACTGAATTAATAATGAACCGAATAACTGAAAATTGAGTGTTTACTGTTTTGCATTATTATAATAGCTGAACTATTATTACACACTATTTTTCCTATTGAATACTGTAAAGCTGCTTTGACACAATCTGTATTGCTAAAAGCGCTATATAAATAAAGGTGACATATTTATCTTTGAAGATTAATTTATTTCTGAAGCAAACTAACATAAGATTTTAACTATTGCTTTTAGAAAAATGTATCCGCTGTATGCAGAGAAATGTGGGACTGCAGCTTTTAATACAATAAAACAATACACAATAAAATAATGCATAAAGTAAACAAATGTGTATCATCATAATTCAACTACCATTCAACTATCTTGCTTCTTTCTTGTCTTTTTCCTGTTTTCTGCACCAGACTGATAGCGCTACCTCTTAGGGGTGTGAGAATTGACAAAAATGTTGCCAGTATTTGCCACCTTACATTGATTTCCAGGGGCCTTTTTACCTTTATAAGAGCAATATTTTTCTAATCTTATTGAATCTATGCAATATCATTTTTGTAAAATTGTTACATTTAATCAATATAATAAAATAGAACAATAAGATAAGTTTCCAATCAAATCCTGTTTTGTACTGCGGAAATGGGACAGAAGCTAAAGCAGCATTTCGATGCATTTACACTGCAATCACAATTGCATAAATAAAGCTATGAGATGACATTTTGAATACTGAAATATATATCTTTTTTTTTTACAAAATGAAAAAATACTTTAAATATGAAACTAAAACAGCAAGTCACTGGTTCAAACGGCTGATTAACTTAGTAACTAATTAAACGACTGTCTTCATGACTGGATCATTAAATCGTTGATTTAAATGATGAATTATTCAGGAATGAAACTGTGTTCATCAGAGGCGCACAACAGTTCCACTGTGGATTTTGAACTATTTCGGTGAAATAGAGTAAAAAACCAGACAATATTACAATGCAAGACACAATATTAACTTACAAAATCAATAACACATTCATTCACAATCAAGCTGATATTTGGGTAAAACTGTGCAGCGTACACTTGCTTGTGTGATATTGCTTAACTATATCATATTTGGGGCAATTTTGCTGCCATATACTGAATCTTTTAGGCATTTTAACTGCATTCTACTGGGCTACATCATGCAGTAAAATTGTGCACTCCTAAGGCAGTTTTTTTCCCCCCAAAGTGAGTGACATACTTGATAAAGTCAGCATCCACATCATTAAAACAACAATTACAATACATCTGATACATCTGACCCTAACATCTGATGGGCCACCCCAATAATTAATATGCTAACATTTCATTTTCTTTGTTTAATCGTACTGAAAGAAGCATTTATTTTAGCCTTGAACTCAATGATGCGATGCGTCTGGTGTTCTGCATCGCGCTTCATCCCATCCATTTACAGCCCCTCACGCACGCGCTCTCGCGAAACATGCTCATTTTCTGGCAGAGTGAAAAACATCGCAGAGCAGAGAGGACACAGACAACGAGCTGACAGACAAGACAGAGCAGGTCACTTCTAATAACAGAAAACAAAGGCTCAGCATCCAAATTTTGTTAGTTTTATTAGGAATTATATAGGAAAGATAAATACAGTTTTGGAGCTCTTTATTGGCGTGACGGTTCACATGCGCTCCAGCAATGCCTCAGTTCAGTGCATTCTATAATTAGCATGAAATAAACATCGAATGCACATCCGATCCATGTTGAAAGATACATTACTGTACAACTTAATGTATAGTGTCTCATGTAATCACTCAATGAGTGTTTGAATCGTGTTAATACAGCTATAAAACATTGTCACATAACTGCAGAAAATCCATTCAGTGTCTCACTGGATTATTACAATTAATGGCAAAATGAATGTTTGGAAATGTAAACTGATATTTCCTACTGACACACTACAGCAAAAGACAGACATAACTGACTTAAAACCACATTTAGCTGCTGAAAATACTAGTGTTCTGATCATTTTGGCCACCACTGTATATGTTCCACTCAAACGGCATTAAAGTGTGCGAGACGTGAATTTAACCTGTATTTATTTACAGAGGTATATTATGTCACACGTCTCTAGTAAGTTTCGTCTGTGTGTGAAGACGCTGCAAGCGCAAATCCGTGAATGAATTAGGGTTGGGCGATGTCTACAAAATTGGCATCGGACGATGTACAAATAACTGACAAGCTACTCAATATCTCGTTCATTATCGAAGGCAATACATCGGCGATTATTAACGCGATATAGCAGTGATCTACGGCTCTGTGTAGTAAATGCCGCTCCATCTGAAAGCACGTGATGGAGATTTACTACTAATCACAGAACCGGCTTTACTGACAAGATGACAATCACATTCGATTATTTGCACAGCCCTAATCTAAAAACAATACCGTTAGTAGGACATAAATGGTATTTTAATCTCTACGGCACGTTTCCGGTCAAGTCAAAAGATGTCACCTTTATCTCTTATACAATATAGATTGTTTCAAAGATATTAAATAATAATAATATTGCACTAATATAAGCGGAGTATATATCTAAGGACAATAGACCAATTTGTTGGCAGAGGATATTTACATGAACTCCACCCGATCAACAGCGCTGCAAAAGAAACATGTTTTTCTGCAGTATCAGTGGCGCAGGGAGTAATTAATAGGCGAGCCTGTATGCGTTTGACCTGATTTCTAGGCCGGCTTTTGTCAAACTCGTGCTTCTCCTTTTCCCATCACACATCACATCAGAAAGGCATTTATTTTCAATAAAAATGAAGTAAATATTTGAAAAGTGGAAATAAAACACCTCATTAATAATACATGTTATTAGGCATGCTTAGCTGTCGGTGTAGGGAGGTTTGTCCCAATAAATTGGCATTTATCTAATAACATTTATAAGCATTATAATTTATACTCAATATGTTATTGCATACTTTTTTATAATGTACTACGGTACTGAAGTATAAATATCTGCCACCTAACTACTATTACACACGCCTGCTGCTAAAGCTTCTATTTTAGTGTAAACTGAATTTATTTGCACTTAGTGTAACTGGAATATATCGCTTTTTCCACTTAGCGTAACTGCCAAAAATATCACCATTCAGTTAAAGACAGCTCAGTGTTGATTCAGTTTTGTTCAAGTTCATCATCCATTATGAAATGAGATCAATTCGGCAACATAATTGTTTACTAGTATGAACCCTTATAAACAAGCCTCTGTAAAAAGAACGGTTAGTGCATTTATTTGTAACGTAACATCCTCGACAGCTGTGCGGAGTTAATGTTCAGTGTTTGTCATGTGACAGCACTTAAGCATACTACTCTGAAACATTTGTTGCTTGTATACGGTTTCACACAGTATTCTTTAAAAAATAGTAGGCAGTATGCACTGTGTACTGGGCAGTAAGCAGTAAGTTAGTATGCCATTTCGAACACAGCCATGCTAAATATTCAGAGCAGGGGACTGGAATCGAGAACCACTTGCTTATGTAGCAGGGATAACGTTACAATAATATATGCAGCACAAACTGCTTCTTTTCATTTTCGAAAGCAGAAAAAAAATAAGTTTTAGTATACAGAAAGACATCTTTCTGCTCCAAGACAGTTATGTAGTATGGATAACATATTTATATTATTAAATAAGCCACAAAGACTATGATTCCAAGATCAACGACCATCAAGATGCCAGGAAAAACGTACTTGGACTTGGATTCCTGTAAAGAATATTCAGTCAAATATGAACTGTGAGTGAATGTGTCCTGACATGATCTAGCAGCGATGAAGTTATGATTCAGTGCACATCACCCTCTAGAGGAAACACGGCACAGTGCAAAAACACATGCAGGACTGATGCGTCACATCAGCTTTTAAACCACATCACTTGCAGACAAATCAATCACAGTGCTGGTGCTCGATGGGACTGGACCTCTTACCTTTCAAAGTCAGCTGTGATTTCTCTGTGGCAGACTGAGACACACTGGCTGCTGCCATCATCACATCACAGCCCTAAACACACACACATCATCATCATCATCATCTCCACTCAGCCACTGTACATCACAATCAGAGGATAATAAGCCACAGACGTGTGTGTTTGCGGAGATCTTCATTGTGAGCATTAAAACTCAGAGATCATCCGAAGCACAGACACGATGTTACAGTTCAAATCAGGAAGATTTTACACAAACTGTGAAGCAATCAGAAGAAAAATGCTGAGCAGGTCAACAGTAAAGCCATGATATCTGCTTTATAAAGATAAAGGTGAATATCGCAGTCTGACAGCTTCATCGGTCAGTAACTGATTTTGATGAGCAGACACAAACAAACAGCAATAATATTTGTATTAAAACGTACGGTATACAGCAGGGTCAGCTGATCATAACCTCACATTTATATACGCCTCAGATTTAGACACCTGAAAGACTCATTTCTGCATTTATTTCATATTTATAATCATTGCTAATTTTAAGTTTGATTTCTCATGATGGGTGAGATAGTGACGCTGTTTGGCTAGCTGCATGTCATTTTAAGATCAAAAGTCACAATATAGTTGAAACCGTCAAGAAGAACTCTTAATAAAAGCGGACAGACTTATATGGGATTTAACCGGTTTTCTGTTTATAATAACACACAAAAATGTTTTGATCTCTACCTTTTATCTGCCGTGAGACTGTGAAGCGCTAACTGTAATTTCCGCTTTAATGTCAGGGTCATGTGACTCACAGACCAGCGCCGCGGTGGATCATGGGAGCGGATACTCCAAATGTTTTTTTTTCGCAACTACAACAGCCGAACACACTCGTATCGTTCTTGCTAGGTACATTTTAGTTCATTTAATTTTTTGTTAATTAAAACATATAATTTATTGCAGCATTCATTTAATATTCAGGAGTATTCAAAGGTTTTCATTGTTTTCACCTTTTCATTTTTTTTTTCAGCAAAAGAAGATCTTAAATACAATCAAAATAAAAATGTAAATGTAAAATATGTTTGTTCCTCGAATTAAGATATAAAAAAAGCAGAGCTGTATTTATTTCAGACTTTTTATTTCAGGAATATAAATTTGCTTCCCTGAGGATTGCCCCTACTATTTGTGCCAGTTTGTTATAATGAAAAAAGAAAAAGAAAAACAAGGAGAAATGAATAGTGAATAATCTAGGACAGAGCCACCAGAGCTGTTCAACTAATAAATACAATCAATCCGACATGACTTGAATGCACCAATAGCACAAAACTTACACATACAAGATTACACATAATAAGGATTATAAAGGAAGCTGGAACGATTGTTAAAAGCCAGCAGTGGTACTAAACGAAGAGCCGTTTGGGAGCCCAGCTCTTACTGCTGAGCTGAGCCAAGTGATCTGGCTCCCTAAGAAGAAGCAATAAGGCGGCCACAAGCCTCACTGCACTCTTCTTTCTGGAAATCATGTGGAAGAGTTGTTTGAAGTCACTTTAATAAGCCTATTGTGATACATTGATACATTTGATAAAACATTTGATAAACTGGATTATTCTGATCCCAGCAGAAGGGTGGATTTCAGGAACAAAAATGTAATAAAACATTAAAACTGGTCCAAAAAATACAGCATTTGCAACATGTAATATATCCCCGAATCCCCAAACAGCTGTCAATATCAAACAAAAATATCATATTTAATATAAAGTTTGTTTGTTTTTTTTACTACATTTTTACAACTACATTGGCACAATCATCAGAGATGGAAGTAGTTATTTGTGTAAATGCAATACAAAACTAGAATGCAAAACATTAGCTTTTTTTTTCCATCACCATGTCCCTTTGGGGGCTCCGTAGAGCACTACTAATCCAGATCTGAAAAAGTGTGTATCTGGATCCAAACCAATCCAATTTTGCTTTGAACAATCGGCACAAAAGCAAGATGGGTTACCTGATCCTCGATAGCAAAACATGGGATTTCCAAATCCAGATCATTCTGATCCAGATTAAACTTTTTGAACAACTGGCCCCATAATGTGAAAACAGCTTTCAGAAGATTTTGAGGGTCTTTTATCTGAGGTGATGATTTTAACATCCCTGGTCATTTGGAATGTGTATCCACAGAAACAAGCAGCATATTCCCTTCAAAAGGCCCTGCAAAGTGTAGCTCTTTTCGCCAAGAAGATGGCCAAATATGAGAAGGGTATAGAGAATGTAAGCTTGACATAGCCTTCAACTCTATGTCTTAAAAATAAAAGGCTCCAAAAGGGTGTTTTTGTAGTGACGCCATAGAAGAACCATTTTCGGTCCCCAAAGAACCTTTCAGTGAACAGTTCTTATTTTGAAGAACATTTTGAAAATCTAAAGAACCTTTTTTCAAATATAAAGAACCTTTTGAAAGGTTCCGTGGATGTTCAAGGTTCTTCATGGAACCATCGATGCGAGTGAATTCGATTGAGTGTATTTCAATGTCTAGTCCTGCTCATCAGATGTAACTTCCAGCCAGCTCCCTCATCTAGATGATTGAATGTAGCTGAATGCAGCTCCTCTAGCCGTATCTGAATTAAATATAGTAATATGTAAACAGCATAATTTTATGCACTAAATCCAGCAGAAACTTCAGCACAATTGGCAGATTTTTAAACACTAATGACAGACATCACTACCTTCACCTCACAGTGATTGGCTGCTGCCTGGTGTTTTTTACTTGAGTGTTTTTCAACTTTAGACTCTTGACCACTCTTCACACTTTCTCTGATTCAGTGTCAATTCCACAATCCCCAATGCGCAAGTGTGGCTCCCTTATGGAGGAATTGAAAATCACTTGTGAATCCTCAGACTTCCCAATCCTTTTCAAGGATGAAGAGTTTGGATGCAGTTGGCAGCATCCATTTTCCCTTTGATCGTGACCAATTGCCCGCTCCCCGCTGAAGAGAAACAGCCCCACAGCATAATGCTTGACAGGTATGGTGTGCTGTGTTTGCTTTTCCCTTGTTGTTCCAGATTCACAACAGGTGTGTACACATAAATTTGTTCTTAACCCTTTTTCTAATGTTAATGAATTTGGATAAATATGCACTTGGTTAGTCATTTGCATAAATCACACTCATCTCCATATAAGGGCTTTCTACACAACTTCATTTTTCTCTCCTGCTCACTCACTCCTTTATTCACACTTTTGCCTGATGTGCAACCAGATCCTGTAAATTAATAAACCATTTTTATATTGGACTAAACAACATATGATTGAGTTTCTAACCTCTCAATTGCAGTTGTATATACAGGCTGCATTTTTCATATCATGTCATTTTTATTTGATTTTATGTTACTCAGAAAAAAAGTTTAAAAATAGTTTTGAAGAGACACTAGTTATTCCATTTCTACATTAAAAAAATTATATGATTGTTGCGTATATGCAGGCTCAATGGTACTCATTTTTTTATTTCTTTTTATTGCATTTTAACTTTACACATGTCCATATACATTTCAATGTAACAGAGAGAACACAAACCCCCTAAAAAAAAAAAAAAAAAAAGATTATTTTACAGTGATATACAATATCACCTCTTTTCTTAGTCTTCTATCAACACATTTCCAACTCCATTTTCCATCTGAAAGGTCCCCAAACTCCATCAAAAATTATGCATCTTTCTCTTAATATACAGTATAATGATGAAATTAAACCTTTTCTAAAACAATTTCTTGTCACTTCTTTTTCCAAGATAGACAATGATGGTATATCAAGGGAATTATTTTGTGATCTGATGATAAAATTTCTTATTTGTAAATACTTAAAGAAATGTTTTGTAGGAATATTGTATGCATTAACTGTTTCCTCAAATGACATACGAGTATTGTTAACATATAGATATGCTATCTTTCGAATGCCCTGGTCAGCCCAAATCTTGAAACCTGTGTTTGGTTTAAATTTTTCATTGCCCCAAATGGGACTAAAACAAGATAAAGGGTAGAAGGCTCCTAAATATATTAAATATATTTACCTCAAACCATACGGCAATCATATTTATAATTATAGGACATTTTTTTTAAAAGATCTTTCAATTCTGATGAATATAAACACAAATTTAAAGGCAGGCCAGAATTTATGGCAGCTGATTCCATATCCACCCAAGACAGGCAGTCCTGAGATAAAACATAATACATAACTGTTCTAAGTTGCACAGCCCAATAATACCAATGAAAATTAGGACACTGTAGACCTCCTCTCATATGGCAAATATAGAAGTGTCAGACTGGAGAGTCTGGAACATCTGTTATTGCAAATTAATTCAGTTAACATTTTTTAAGTCGTTGAAATAGATGTTTATATAGGGGGAGGCAGAGGAATGTTCTGGAATAAATATACAAATTTTGGCAAAATATTAATTTTCAAAATAGTTATTCGACCAAATAAAGATATGGGTAAGGACATCCATTTTTCTATAGAGCTACTAACACTTTCAAGAAGTGGATCATAATTTACTTGCACAACATCTCCTGGTTTTGGAACAATTTTAATACCCAAATATGTAAAACAATCAACTATGTTGAAGGTTGCAACACAATTAGGCTGCTGTCTGTCAATCTCACTTAGAATAGCCAACTTTTAGAATTGTTCATTTTGAATCCAGAAATTTTTCCAAATGTACTGATAAGATCTAATAAAGCGGGAATTGATGTATCAAGATGCTTTAGGAAAGAATGACTTCAACAGCGAGTAACGCAATTCTGTGTTCTGTCTGTCCAAACTTAATGCCTGTTAATTCCACATGAGTTTTTTTTTTACTGCTATTGCAAAAGGCTTGATGGAGAGGGCAAAAAAAGGTGCTAAATTTTGTTGTACATTTGGAATATATACCCTAGTAAAAAAGTAATACATTTAAAATACATTTATTTCATACTAGTTCAACCTATTTACATATTTACTGACATCGCTCGAGACTTACTGATATAAAAATGATAATGAAACTTTATTTGGAGTAATCAGTGTTGGGGAAAATTACTTTTAAAAGTAATGCATTACAATATTGCGTTACTTCATAAAAAAGTAACTAATTACATTACTTAGTTACTTTTTATGTAAAGTAATGCGTTATGTTACTTTTGCGTTACTTTTTAAATCTGGACAGGGCTTGCTTGTTTGTTTTTAAAATAAAAAAGTTATATTTTTGGCAAATATAAAAGCCTTTTCACACCAAAAGTGAAATGAATAAGCCTCAGGCTGAAGGGAAAGTAAATGTACGTCCGTACAGTAGAATGCAGAAGAAGAAATTTCAACACACTTCAGCAATAAAAAAAGACACACAAATGTTTGTCTAGAGTAATTTGTGCTTATTAGTATTGTTGAACTGGATCATCGAAGGTCAGAAGCAAAGAAATTGGTTAATAGAATGGGATTAAATACATAAAGGATATTTGTGTTGTTTAACATTTAATTATTGCAGGTTTGCGTCATATTCTGAGTTGCATAATTTTTATTCATTTTGAGGAATACTGAATCTGTGTTTTTTTTGTGTGTGTGTGAGTGAGATTAATTAATTACACATAATTGGAAAAAAAAGTAACTTGCGTTACTTATTTGAAAAAGTAACTCAGATATTCTCTTGTAAATTAAAAAATAATGCGTTACTTTACTAGTTACTTGAAAAAAAGTAATCTGATTACGTAACCCGCGTTACATGTAATGCGTTACCCCCAACACTGGGAGTAATTGTGCACAATGCACATTTCTTAATATTAAGCCTAAAATTCTCGCAAAAGGTGTCTTACTGATTTGGCCATCGTGACTCAAATTCCATACGACAGTGACACTCTAGTCTCAACAACTTGTATGCATTTGTTTAGACTCCCTCTTGAACAGTAAACACATTTTGTACACACACACTTTATACTTTACAATAATCAGATTTTTATGTTTAGCTTTTGATTAATTAATTTTAAATTGAAAGAAATACCTCCCTAACCCCTCTTAGTCCCTGACTTCAGGCCTCATGTTTTCAAAATGCCCCTGTTCTCAGGAAGATAGTTACACAAGCAGATGTTATGAACCCAACTTTGTTATGACCACACAGACAAACTCATAAAAAAAATCATATTTTCTATCCCCTACTGCTAAACATTTATGATTTATAAGCTTTTTTTCTTGTGGGGCCCAA